AATTAGTTTCATTCACAATAAACTGGCTCTTGATGAACTATCCTGAAGTTTAGGCAATGTTGTTCAACTACATGATACTTTAATTCCCTGGATATACAGAATATATTGTAACCATTTAGTTGTAAGATGCAGATCAAAATATTGTTAAATGCGGGGGGGGAGGAGGCATCTTCAAGTCCCATATGCAACACTAAAATGCTACCTATGCTACACACTTGCTGTTCACATGAAATAAATAAGTCTGTTTTTCTTTGTTATTTCATTGGTCTATTTCCATCAACCAATGGTTTGCCCAAGGTAAGCCAGGCAGAAGGGCTATTTCAGTTCACAGGCATTTTTTGATGCACTAAAAAGATCAAACTGGCTAGACAGTTAGGGGAGTGCCAATCTTTTGCCATTTCCCCTTATCTGTGCACCCCCTTATGTTCCTTGAAAATTTGCTTCAAACAATTGAGACACCCTCTAGAATAGTGGAGAGGGAGTCAATGGAGACTGCAAAAAGAAGGGCTAATCAGCAAAGATTGCCTCAATTTCCTTTCTGCTATTCTGCTCAGGAGAGATGCTCCCATTAGTGGAATAACAACTACATTCAACCATTTGCTCCCTGAAATGAAATAAACAAAATCCTTGCATATTATCCCAGTGATATGACATAGTAGCAAAAACTTATATCCTTACTTTTCTTTCTCAACCTTTCTCCCTCAGCCATTTCTTCAGAGGTGGTTCTCTCTTCAGGAAGATTCTCTGTCTCGTGTTCAGAATGTTTTTTCTTCTTTTTCCTCTTCTTTTTTATCACCACCGATTCTGTCGTTGCCTGCCCCTCTGTCTGTTCCAAGATGCTAGGAGACACTTCATTCTCCTTTTCAGCTGTCTCAGCATCCACTTCCATTTCTGTATCAGAAATTCCAGCACTCTGGAGATCTTCTTGACCATGGCTAGGCTGCCCATTGACAACTTTACCTATCAATGTATACAGTGTAATTACACACTTGTTCTTGTTGAGTACTTCAAGCTGTTTGTGACTTATGGCAACCCTAAGGTGAACCTAGCATGGGATTTTCATAGCAGAATTTGTTCAGAAGCAGCTTGCCATTGCCTTCCTCTGAAGCTGAGAGCTTGTGATTTGCACAAGGACACTCAATGGGTTTAATGGCTGAGCGGGGAATCAAACCTTGGTCTCCAGAGTTGCAGTCCAATGCTCAAGGTACTACACCACACTGGCTCTCTTAGAATAATAGAAGTTTATTAACATAACTAGGACCCAAAAGAAATAGGCCAAAAGGCACGGCTTCTAGCTGCTTCAAGGGCGGGGCATGCAGATGACGCATGCCCTTCATGCAGCCAGAAGTTACTCTGAGGCTACCTAAGGCAGCCCGAGCCCATCGGCAAAAAAAGCAGGGAAAATCTGCTCTTTGCCAGCAGCCCATTTAGGACCGCAGCAGCGGCTTGCTTTCAGAGCAAGCCGTCCGGTCACTGCAGTCCTGCACCAATTGGGCTTGAATGCAGGTGAAGCAGCCAGAGGCCACTCCTTCATGCCCATCTGTTTCATCTCTAGGTAACACAAAACTTCAAATACCTAAAGTAGTAAAAAAAAAAAAAAGCAAACAAAAGATCAGTAGTCAACTACTGACCATAGGAAATGTCTAGAAGATAATCATTTTGTGAAGTTGGCCTTTGTAAGGGCAATTCCAGGTAGTCACCTTCTTAAGAGAGCTAACATTCTAAACAGAACACACAGAAATTAGGGAACTCACAAGGTCTGTAACAAAGGAAATTATCACTTTCCAATATGTTTTCAATATTTTTAGAAATACCTTTTCGTTTTTTCTGAGACATGTGTGCTTTTTTCTCACTGGAACTTTTCTCCTTTTGACACTGACATTTGGCATCTTTTTCCTTTTTCTTCCTTTCATTGTCCAAGACTTTCTCAAGGAGTTTCGTAAAGACATCAAAGTCAAAGGGCTTTTTCTCTTCTGTCCAGCAAGGAGGGGAAAAATATTATTTATTTAATTAAAAAATACAAAACTTCAACCACATCTTAGAGGCTAGCAAATATACTGTGCTGTGAGCTTCCATAAGCATTTGTTGTTGCTCCTGTCAATACATTAACCTCTTGCCTAAGAAAGTTCATCTACAAAGGATCTGTGGTGTAATGTGTATGGGACATTGCAGGAGGTAGAAGCTTGAACAATTTAACCCACATGCACTAAAATTAAAAAAGGAAAACCTGCACTCTGAAAGGTGGAGCATTTTCTGACCCCAATGAGAAGCTCAATGTAATGTGGAATATAAAAATACCCAAAGTCCAAAGGAGTGTTCTGCTTCACCACATCATGGCTTGCGGAAAACAACACGGAGGAGTTTTTTGTTTTAAATACAGGTATACCTCAGTTAACTAATTGGATATGCTCCTGGGCATTACTTCTTTAAGAGAAAATTAGTTTCAGTTAATGTTTATGCAAACCTAGCAATGTGCACATGTGAAATGAAACAACGAGGTCAGGAAATCATTGCATAAGTAAACAAAACATTTTGAATGTTTGAAGCTAAATGCATCCAGGAATGATTTTTGTTGTTGTTGTTGTTGTTGTTCTTTTGCCAACCTCTACTTTTCTTATTATTTCATTTGGGGAGGCAAACTTATAGGTCTATTTATTTTAAAAGCAGGCTTATCTGTTATCTCTCCTGGCACCACCATCCCAGTACTAGTGCTGCTAAAAAGCTTCCAGTTAGGCAGAGTACAAGAAGGAAAGGGGGGAAGCTATGCTGGTATGGAAAAAAAAAATTGTAAAAAGGAGCTTTGCTATCAGAGGCTTGACTGAGGTATGCCTGTACTTTACTCTAGAATGTTACATTTGCTGGGATTAAAAAAAGAAATTATCCCAATGGCAAAAATCAACAGATTTGCTGGGATGTTTTTTGTTGTAGATATTTATTAATGGGGAAACACTGTATATAACAATTGGCCTTAATTTGGAGACACTGTACAGGTGAAAACATCTTGTAGATATACTTCAACTTGGATGTTGCAATAGTATGTTAACATGTAGCAATACTTACTGAATGCTTTATCTATTCTCCAGCCATTGGCCTTTTCTTCTCGTTTAAATTTATTCTGAAAACAGAAAGTTGTGCCATGTTGATTATTTTCACTAAGCAAATGAGATTGCTTAGTCCAATCCCTGAAGCCTATTGCCAGTCACCACAAGCCCCCCCCCATCCTCAAATTTTATTTGCATGCATTCAATCATTCAATCTGTTCTGTTGATTAGAACAATATTTAGGAGCTGTTTTGAAATGAAACAGTTTCCTTGCGTTGAGGTAAAAAGGAGAGATAGTATTGGGTGTCATCAGTCTAGTGATGGTACCAAACCCTAGAACTCCAGACAACTTCTCTCAGTAGTTTCATGTATATGTGAACTAGCATGGAGGACAATACAGACGCAGTGGGAAAGTATAGGTCAATAGCTAAAGAGTCAAACCAAAGTACCCCTTCTGGGTTCATTCTCCCAGGCAGGAATGGAGCCACTGTAAAACATGGCTCAAATCACATCCAAGCAAGGCAACCCAGAAAGATACCATGGCCACTGAGAGGTCAAGCAGAACCAAAAGAGACACAGTCCCTCTCTTCATGTCCTAGAGGTCATTCACCAAGGTGACCAAAGCCATTTCCATTCCATAACTGGTCCTGAAGCCAGATAGAAATAGATCTACATAACGTGTCTCATCCACTGCAATGCAATGTCTACACAGTATATACTTTGATAATTTTCTTACAGAAGCAAGCTTAATTCAAATTATCTGTTCTATGGATATTAGAATGGAATGGAACATTATAAAATATTACATCCACAAGCCAAATATTGATTTAGTAATTTTAAAATGTTTACCTTAATCTCTGTTCTTGCTCTGTGAGGAAAAAGCTGGCTAATCATCGAAAAGTCTGTCCCTACCATACTTATAGCTAAGAAGAACATGTCTGTTTCTGTAAGGAAAAAAAATGTAAGTGATCACTGTTCAAAGTATATCAATGTTAACCTCATAAGGGGCATACATAATGGAGTATAAAAGCATCTACCTTTATATACTGTAGTATTATAAAATGGATTGTATATCATACTATGGAGCTGCCTAGTGAGGCAGATCACTGGCCTATATCAGAGCTAGCCCTCAGATATTGGTGAACTGCAAGTCCTAGCAGCCCAAGCCATCTTAGCCAATGGTGAAGAATGCTGGGGACTGCAGTCCAAAAATACCTGGAGTACTATATGATTTCCACCCCAATCTACACTATCTAGCAATGGGTCTGTACAGCTTAACATCACAGAGTCTCAGTTCTATCTAGAGATATCAGGTATTAAACTTGTGACCTTTTGCAAGCAAAACATGTGTTCCTTCACTGACCTACATCCCCTATTAGTACAATAGCACTATCATTGCTTATTATATTTTCCTGTGTATTTTAATAAGAATTGGCTAGATATAAAATCAGTTAATCTTTGAAGTTTCAGGGAAAGTCTAGCAGGTAAACATGTGCTGAATGAACACTGGCTTGTCTTTGATTTAGGTGGAAAGTGTTTTTAAACAGCTCACTCTCAAGTCAGACTGTAGAACAATGCTGGTCATAGATAAACATAAAGATTGTAAATTTAGTAATAAAGATAAAGATTGTAAATTTAGTAAAGAGTAACTAAATTTTAAATCTGCTGATAAACTTTGTGAAAAACTTTCCACTATTTCTAATCTGGAGGAGGAAAGAGTTGGGTTTATGCAGAGAAAACAGTTAAATACTAACCTAATTCTATTGCCAGATCTATATAATCAAAAGTATTTTAATGAATTTGTTGCTGTTGTTGTGTGCCTTCAAGTAGTTCCCAACTTATGGTGACCCTAAGGCCAACATCACAGGGTTTTCATGGCAACTTTCTCCAGGGGGGGTGCCATTAGCATTTTCTGAGGCTGAGAGATTGTGACTTGCCCAAATTTACCCAGTGGAGTCATGGCTCAGCAAGGATTTGAACCCTGGTCTCTAGAGTCATAACCTAACACCGAAACCACAATGCCACACTGGGTCTCTTTAATGGGTAGTGCCATATTTTTATTGCAGCAGATAGCACTCAAACCTATTACTGCTATCTGCACCTTACCAACTTGTGAAAAATATTATTTGTATAAATTCACATACTCAATACTTTTGAACAAATTGAAGGAATGTAAATAAGAAATGGATGCAAACATCTCTCTTCCCACTCACTCACAAGCTTTGCCCAGCTGAGTACGCCTTAAAAAGTTCAGCTGTTTAAAAGCCAATCTCAAAGAAGATGATCACTAAACTTTATACATATATCATCAAACTACACCTACCTTTTTCTGACCATGGCTTGGTATAATAGCTTTTCCTAAAACTTGAATAAGTTGTAGTAGAACCACGCTCAAATATGGGATCGTTTTCTTCCACCACACATTGTCCTTTTGTCCTCAAAACTTCTACTGTTAAACTAAATGTGAAATTGGGAAATATTCAAAAACAAAAGACAAGGAAAGAAGAAGCAATGATATACCAAGTACATAAACTTCCTCAGAAGACAAAATAAGTGAAGACAACGTGGTTTTCCTAGTAAGATTACAACAATAAATTTTTAACTGTTATCAGTATTTTATACTGAACATCAGTATAGAACTGATTCAGTCTTTCTATGCTGACAAGAAGATAAATATTGTTTACTGATCACCCAAAATAGTTTGAAGGAACAAAAAAATCTCATTTCATGGACAATCAGTCCATTAGGTGATCAGAAACATTTTTCAGAAACAGAAGAAAAACAACAATCTCACTCACAACCATCACCATGTGGCCTGCCCACCTCATCTCTTCCTCACTGATGTTATATGTTTTGCTCCTTCATTCTACTGCTCATCACCTCTACTTTCAGGCCAACTGAGAACATGGACAGAGGAATAAAGTATGAGGTGAAGTGGGAACAACTGGAAGAGCAGTTGTCACCTGCTCCACTGCAGTATGTTCCTGAGGGTAACAGATCAATGCAAGTTGGGGAAAAGGCATAGATACCAAAGAAATGTAAAAAAGCCTGGACTGAAACAGAAACAAGTGATGGGGTGTGAAACTTAAGAGCATCTGGAAAGAGCAGAGCTGGGGAGGTTTGTTATTCTTTAAATACATTTATGCAATATGATCCTGCGTTTGTGTTCAAATCAGAGCTCTCTTATTCATACAAAAGGCTTGGGCCCTGCAGGAAAACAGACGTTTATGAATGTGCTAAAATTCCTAGATATAGGTGCAAAGCAGAGAAATCTTAGTTAAAAAGGTGTGTTTCTATCACATACACAGGGACAAAGAAGAAAAAGAGGACTTTTTATAATACACATGCCTAATGCAGGTTATACTCAGATGTAGGTCATTCTGAACTGAGTGAGACTAATTCCCAATGCAGTATGTGTGAGATTTTAGGCATGGAAAGAAAGGAAAGAGATGGGAATAGATAGAGGTTTGTGTCTAAATGATACTGCTGAATGCCTTATTGGGAGAGGGTTTTGTCTCCAACAGTAAAGTGTCTTAGGTCAGCACTGAGCAGTTCAATAAATGTTTATCCTCCTTTTGAAGCAGACATCAATTGTCAAAACTTAACCTTTCTTCATCCAGAATAATTGAACCATCTTCTGCAACTTTCACTCGAGGAACTAGAAGGGGTCCATCTTCCTCTCCAATTTCATTATCTTCATCTTCCTCATTTTCATCTTCATGATCAGCAACAATTCTTTCCTCAGGCCTGAAATTTGGAGTGATAATCAAATAAGGGGGAATCTATTCCATATTTCATTTATAAATATAAATTATTCTATATGGCCTGAACTACAAGCCAAATTACTTTCAACAATATCACTGACATAGTCACTAATGTTATTGTGTTGGGTTTTTTTCTTTTGGAAAGCTACATTATATGTTTTGTCTGAAGTAAGCATGTGCTTTAAAAATCCTCTTAGGAGCCCATATCAGAAAATGGCTGGATAACTGCAAATAAATTACATAGCTCTCATATTATGTTTCACTTTTACTCTCCACTATGTGTAATTATATAAATCAACACCCAATTAATATACAGATGGGCCATATTACAGTATGGCACTAAAGCAAATAAGATATTAAGAGTACAGATGTAATGCCTGTTTTCTATTAATTATAATTAAGCTACTAGGCATGAGACAGAATGTCCCTCTCTCTCAAGCCCTTAACTTCTTATACTGAAATTCTTCTGACCATCAGTTATAGTCTTATTTCCATACTAATCCAGGAGTGTTTCTAACCCAGAAATTGAAACCAGGTGTTGAATGCTGGATTAGGGGTCCTGCCCTAGAGTTAAGATTTGTCACAGTTTGTCTTAATGTAAATATAACAGTTGTGAGGAGAGTAAAGGGAAGTGGAAATTTCCATGCAAGAGGGAAGGGGCTTGTGAGATAGAGCAGCAATGTTGGAAATTGGAAATCCAATAATTGTGGTTAACAATAAACTAGCATTAGGTCCAAAAGTAGCCCTAGCAAAGTATTGAACATAAAGACAACTACCTGCAGCGGCATAGTACCCTCAGTATGATTTATTCAGCAAAAATTAAAATTACATTCCCACAACAACTCTTCAGGTTCAATCAATTAAACCAATATTTTTTCTTTAAAAAAAAAACCTCTTTGAATGAATTACTCCACTTATCACTAATTCTACTTTTTTAGAAAAGGAAAGAAATATTACTCTTTTGCTTGGGTCACTGTAGAAGTCTTTTCTGTTCGCTTTTCTTCCACCAATGAAGACCTATTAGATATTAAAAAACATAGTTCCACTTCATTATTTAAGTTTTTAAAACTCTAAAAATGTGGTCTACATTTTATAGCAAAAAGCAAAAGAGGACTGGTAAAACCCAATAGAGGAGAGAAGGAAAAGGTTTCAGGATGTTGAAAAAAGAGGTGCTTGTATTCTTAAAAATAACCCAATGCATTTTAACCTGGAAATATTTTTATAGCCTTCTTCAGTTGCCAGACATAAGCTTTGGAGACATTCTCTGCAGGTTGATTTTAAAGTTGTATTTCCCTGAAGAAAGCCATAAAAATATTTCCAAGCCAAAATGTGATGGGCTAATTTTAAGAATAAATTCATCTCTTTTTTCAAAACGTTGTATCTTTTCCTACATATCATAGCAGACAGACTGCCTTAATAGTGCCTGGTTCTACTCATAGTTTACCTGTATGATTTGCCATCTTATCCACAATTTATTTATTTATTTATTTATTTATTTAATTATTTATGAGTAAATAAATGCCTGCAGTGGTTTTCTTTTTTCTCCCCCCCTCCCGATTTCTTTGCCATTGCACTGTAAAATATTAAAGCCATTTAGCACAGGAAACCACATAGAGATGCATTTCTACTGACCTCTATAGGCATAAAAGTAATTAACCTAACAGCTTTTGAAAGTGTGCACATTTTATAGATAACCATACTAAACCAAATCATTAAACTGACGTAGGAAAACTCTTCCTTTCATACCACTGCTTACAGGCCAGATTAAGTAGGCTGGAATTTCCCTCCTCTACTTTAAATATAATGAAGTCCTGTCTTGCAAGAGTGGGTGGAAAGTATCTACTCTAGGTAGCTTGGAATCATCCTAGTAGGTAAGTTCAATCAAACCCTTTAATCAATGCCTCAGTTGTTTGTCTGAGATAGATATGTAAGTCTTCCTCACAACAGGAAAGAAACCAGTATCTGAAACTGAGAATATATATCAAGGGTTATGTCAAATACAAGATCAGAGAGACAGGAGAAATGTGAAAGATGCATACAGAAATACTTTTTTTGATAATGATCAATCCATTCATTTTCAGATGTTGTTGTGTGCCTGCAAGTCATTTGCAATTTATGGCAACCCTAAAGGATTTTTTTGGAAAGATTTAATCAGATGGGGTTTGCCTTTGCCTTCCTCTAAGTCTTAGAGAATGTGGTTTGCCCAAGGTCACTCAGTGGGGTTCCATGGCCAAGCAGGGATTTGAACCCTTGTCTCCAGAGTTGTAGTCCAACGTTCAAGCCATGGATCAGATGCTACTTTTGCTATATACTTAATAATTCTGTATTGGTCAAAATGTGGTTGGAATATTCCTAAGTGAGACTGAAATCCTCATTTAGCTTAGGGCTTTTGCAGACTGCCAGAAAT